GTGTATGTGTATGTGTATGTATGCGTCTGCATGCGCATGCATATGTGTGTGTTTGCGTATGGATGAGTATGTACGACAGACTAATTCGAGGCCCTGCCCCAACCTGCACGATGACATAGACTTGGTCATGCAGGAACAGGCGATGTAAGTCCTGCGTGGACTCCAGGGCTTCGTGCTCAGTACCAAGATTCATTCTTGCTGCAAGGATCCAAAAGAAAGCTGCAGTGGATCCACAAATTTCCCCAAGCCCTGACGCATTCCTTTAACCTTAACTTCAAACACACTGCTCCCTATCCAATCTATAGAGCCTTGTAGGACAGCATTTTGTTTCGCCCTCAGCTAGAAATAGTTTGAATACCCAAACGAAGACTAAAACCATCATACTCCGAAGCCCAAGACCCTTAACATATAACCACTCTTACACCCAAAGCACTACACCTTCAACACAAGCGCAGAACTAAAGAACATGTGACAGTGCATGTACGTAAACAAATAAACGAACAAACGTATACATGACCAGAGACGGAGATGGAACAGTAGTCATGATCCTGTTCTTACTAAGCATGAATGACAATCAGCACCATCATCTTTTTAGCCTCTATGTTCACCTTCACCACGATGATCATCACCATCCCCGCTCAGCTGTGTCATGATCAAGCCCGAACCCGGTCCGAGAGCAACAGGCCCAGGACCATCGGTGCCGCGAGCTTTGGTGTGTGGCGAAGGGGTCCTTCCAAAGAACTTGCCCAAGGAGCTTGGTGCGACTATCAGGCTAAGCAGCTAGACAGTTGTCGGGGTGTGGCCGTGCACCGGAAACGTGGGCCCATGGAGGCAAAAAGTAACTACCTAGCAACTACCACTAAGAAAAACGACAAACTGAACCTGTCCCGAACCTGACCCTTACTTGGGTGGACATATCCACTCCCAGGAACAGACTGGTTAGATGCTCCGAAAAAGTCATGCATCAGAAATGTGGCTGAGTTCAATATCCGGCGGCGCCTGAGTCCAAACTCGTCAGAAAACGTCATGCTTCAGAAATGTGGCTGAGTTGAATGTCCGGCGGCGCCTGAGCTCAAATTCGCCAGAGGCGGAGAGCCTCTTGATCGAAGGGGACCCCTGCAAATGAAAAACTTCAAGAGCCTAGACAAGCTGCGAATCGCAAATGAATGCACAAGGGCGAACATGTTGGTTGCATTCAGGGCCGCACTTCTAAAACGACAAGACGCCACACATGCGCCGATGCGCGAAGTGTCGAGATGCGGTACCACCCATTCACCCCAGGAGCTGTCATCCTCGACAGTGCTACACAGCCATGTTAATTCGGGCTATAGCAGGTAGCACACGGAGCGAACTGTGGTCTTAGAACGCGAACGGACGCCGACGAACATATCTTCCCCTGATTTATCTCCCCCTATGCCAGCAAACGTACGGTAGTTCGGGTCTATCTTGAAAAGCTCCCGGGCACAGGAGAAATTCCCCCATCTCCGAATCTCGTGGACCAACTCGGCCGAAAAGTTATGGTAAGGGCCTTGATCACCGAGCTAGGATCTTTGGACATCTTGGGGATGCTTAAGCATGGATATATAATATATAAGCACTACGAGGGCAGACGATAAGACTGTTTCCGGACCCCTTACATCGCCTCGTCTGGCACTATGCTCAAGTCGCAGAGTCTTGTTTAGAACTCAAAGCA